TTTGAAACTTCTTTGGCAGAATAAATTTGCAGCTGAGCACAGAGTRTCAAATAATCCAATGGAATCAAATCCAGCCTGGGAGATAGGATTAATGAYTTTGAGATTTAAGTCAAGATTAACAAAACAGCAAAGCAGAGCTGGYTGCTCACAGCTGGTCAGGGCAGGCTTTGTCCAGGAAACAAAGGAAAATTATTGTGACAATTCTGGGCACACCTGGTGCCCTCAAATGTGGGGCACGTTAAAAAGCTCAGAACAGAGCCCACGTTACAAATTGTCAAATTTCATTGATCTTTGCACTTTAAGGTCCTTATCTATGTCTCAGAACCTTATCAGTGATTTAGTGCCATATCTATTTCATGCACATGTGCCATTTTATTCTCTGAAGCTTATTGCTTATTTAAAGACACCACATTCCTACACACGTTTTCTGGAGAATAAATGTGATTATCGTTCACTGTTAGATTTGTTACACACTTTCACAGAACCTGTTCTTTCCTTGAACCATTTCACAGCTATTTATCTGTTATTTGCACCGAAAGTGATCGTGTTTGACCTGCACTGGTGCCTCCTATGGCTCACTGTGGATAAAAATACAACCAGGTCACTTTTCCAGCTGGGCATGCCTTGCTTTGCTGTGATTTTYGGATGTTTCAGAGCAGATGTTTGTTCTGGGAACACTCGTGGCAATGCAGTTCTTTGTTAAGCTGACTTGTGGCAATGCCAGTTTTGTTTTCATGTACCACACCTGGACTCTAAGATCCACCTTCACAGAGCAGATGTGGGACCAAACCAAGGTCTGCAGGTTCATTTCTGCTGTAAAATTGCAAATCTGTCCCTTTGCTGGCTGCACTCACCCTGCAGGGCGGGCACGGCACATCTGCCAACCCTTCTGAGGGTCACGGAATGGTTTGGGTGGGAAATGACCCCAAATCCACCCAGTGCCACCCCTGCCATGGCAGGGACACCTCCCACTGTCCCAGGCTGCTCCAGCCCCAATGTCCAGCCTGGCCTTGGGCACTCAAAGGGATCCAGGGGCAGCCACAGCTTCTCTGGGCACCCTGTGCCAGGGCTGCCCACCCTACAGGGAACAATTCCTCCCTAAATCCTGGTTCCACACAACAAACTCGTAATAAAAGCAACACTTGAGGCCATCTGCCCTGAACCATGGGTCTGTGTGAGCCAGATGAGCAGGCAGAACAGCACAGGGCACTTTGCAATTTAATTAATAGAAAAAAACCCTCAGCTATAAGCCTACTAAACATTTCACGAGGAATCATGTAATCTCTCAGAGCCCAGAAGGAATTAAAGACCACACATTATATATTTAAGGCTATCTGTCCCAGTTCTTTATGGAAAAAGAGCTTAATTTCAAGGATTTCCCATTGAAAAATCCCCCTGGATTTCCCTYAAACTGCTCAGAGGTGAAAGGACCCAACTGCAGCAGTGGTGGATTCTCAGCAAACCCTTCCCAGAGCTGCCCAGGTGAGCTGAGAACACCCAGAGCAGGCAGAGCTGGNCTGTGCCCATCCCAACCCCGCTGTGCCCATCCCAAACCCTTGGTGCCCATCCCAACCCCGCTGTGCCCATCCCAACCCCGCTGTGCCCATCCCAACCCCGCTGTGCCCCGCTGCCACCCGTGCTCACCTCCAGCTCCAGGATGCGGAACTCCAGCAGCTCGTTCTGGTCCTTCACGTCCTGCACGTCGTGTTTGAGCCGCGCCTCCTCGGCTTCCATCTGCTTTATCTGGAAATGCAGAAAGCAGCACCTCCTGAGCTCTGYGGGGACAGCAAATCCTAACCCGGGGCATGGGGACAGGGATGGGCAGGGCTGGGCAGGGGGAGCCCCGGGGTGAGCCCTCCCTGAGCTCTGGGGGACACAGGAATGTCCCCACTGTCCCCAGGGCCACAGGAATGTGCCCGGGACTACTGTTCCCAGGGCCACTGTCCCCAAAGCCACAGGACTGTCCCCAGGGCCACAGGACTGTCCCCAGGGCCACAGGACTGTCCCCAGGGCCACTGTCCCCAGGCCACAGGACTGTCCCCAGGGCCACTGTCCCCAGGGCACAGGACTGTCCCCAGGGCCACTGTCCCCAGGCAGCCTCACACCAGGACACACTCAGGGCAACAGGGGATGCCACAAACCCATTTCCCTGCAGGTTTATAAGGATCTTATATTAAACACAAATTATTTCCAGCAGGGAAATACAGATCAGAATGTGCACTACAGATCAGAACATTGCACCTTCTGCCCCCCTTAAGCTGCAAACACTCTTCAGATAACACAAATAGAGAAATTGAGCACCTTTTCCACCAGCTCCTGATTTCTTCTGTACAACGCCTGCTTCTCTTCAATCCACTTCATGTCCTTGGGAAGGAAATGAACAGTGCTGCAGGTGAAGCTGCAATGTTCAGCACAGCACAGCAGCATCACTGAATCCCACATACAGAGGATACAATAATGACACCTGTGGAATCAATTCCATTCCTAAAATAACTTCCTAAGCTAAACTAGTCCGTATTATTTTAACACATCTGCAGCACACAAATGGAATAGGAACATTTCCGTGATTAAAAAACTCTTTCAGGTAAAAAAAACCTGTTTGCATTAAAAGGCTATTTCCAGCTATGTGTCTACTATCAAATTTCAGTTTTGCCAAGTACAAATTATATATTTCTGCAGAGCAGGCAAAATAAATTTTATTTGKAAGCTAATCTCTTGGTTTAAGGAATACATAAAACCCACAAACCCCAGAACATTGTTTACCAGCAAGAGCA